GAGATTGGGACTCTCATACACTGCTGGTGGGACTGTAAAATGGTACAACCATTGTGGAAACCAGTATGGCAATTCTTTCAAAAGTTGGAAATAGAAATACCATTTGTCCCAGCCATTCCATTACTAGGTATATACCCTAAACAAGTGAGAGCCATGACAAGAACGGATATATGTACACCCATGTTCATTGCAGCACTATTTATAATAGCCAAAAGATGGAAACAACCTAGGTGTCCATCAACTGAGGAATGGGTAACCAAACTATGGTACATACACACGATGGAATACTGTGCAATGCTAAAGAATAATGTAGAATCTGCAAAACACCCTATAACATGGATGAACTTGGAGAACATTATGCCAAGTGAAATAAGTCAGTCATAAAAGGACAAATACTATATTAGTCCATTATTGTAAAAGTTAAGGAAAGGTTTATCTGTAGAAGGAAATTTTCTTTGTTGGTTACCAGGGGTGGGAGGGGAGGGAGGGAACGCTGTTAGATAGATAGAGACAAGTATTGATTTGAGGGACGAGAAGGGCAGTGTACCAAATGTGAGTGACCAATATGGACCATTGAGGATGAGAAAGACATAGAGTGGTACATGGGAGGTACAGACAACAAAGATGAACCCTTTTGCACATACAATACTACATTGTCAGTGAAGGCAAACATGGGTATATGGGTGGATAGATGGGTGGACAGGCTGAATGATTAGGTATGTCTATGAAATGGGGAGTGTATCCAAGAACATGTATAGGGTTGGCAGACAATGGTCCTATAAATTTACGTGAATGATCAGAATTCCCAGGTGCATAGTAGAGCTGACAAGGGGCAAGGATGTGGTCACGGCTTGGTCACAGCCAGCTACCCAGAGGGACCAAGTAGTTGAACCTGTGGGCTTGGGACCATAGTCACAGGGGACATCAAGCTCAATTGGCATAACATACTATACAAAACATTGTTTCACCTCCTACTTTGGTGAGTAGTGACTGGGATTTTAAAAGCTAGCAAGCTGCCATCTAGATGCAACGATGGGTCTCTCCTCGTCCAGAGCCAAGAAGAATGAAGAAAACCAAAATTCATGGAAACAATTAGTCCTAGCAACTGGTACACCATCCGATCTGCAGCCTATATGACTATGAGACCAGAAGAAGTAGATGGTGCCCTGCTACCACTGTCATCCACTTGGAAGGGGATCTATGTAGGAGATCTTGATAGAGAGGGAGATCAATGTGGAACAAAACTCAAAATCATTTGGAGAAAAAAAAAGGGGGGGACCAGGTTTGCTGTTCCGATGGAGCCTGGTAGAACCACTGAGAGTATGGCCCCTAGCTGCCCTTCAGGTCTGGAATTAAACCCACACCCATGGTTTCCAGCCAAACAAAAGACAGGCATATGAGTTGAACATTTACCTCAAGTAGATACACTCCTTGGAGGAAACAATCATGGGAGAATAGAAGGGCTATGTATGCAGAGGGTGACAGCTTAGGGGGTAGGAGTACATGGAGCAATGGACACTGGGAAGGGGTAACTATGGGGAGGAAGTGGGAGGGGAGCTGTTGCATTGTGGTAAGCTGTGGTCAATGTCATGAGACAAAGTGTATGTGAACTGCTGTATGGAAAGTGAATCTGCTGTGTAAATCTTGACCCAAATCACAATTAAATAAAACGCAACAGCAACAAATTATTACAGGGTGGTAAGTTATTTTATAACAGTGTTTAAGATATATTCACTGCCCTCGAGTTGGATCTGACTCATAGTGACCCCTCCTTGGGTTTTCCAGGCAGTATCACTATGGAAGTAGTTTGTCCCATCTTCCTTCCGAGGAGTGGCTGTTGGGTTTGAACTGCCAGCCTTCTGGTTAGCAGTCAAATGCTTTAGGTACTACGCCAAGATATATATTCTGCAGATACATAGTTAGCAGTCAAATGTCTTGGGCAATGTGCCACCAGAGCTCCTTAAGATACGTATTCTGAAAATACATAGATACTGCCTGGAAATGAGAAGTGACAGTTAAATTTGAGGGGGCTGGTTGTTGGGGTTTATATAGGAAACTGTGACAGATACTCAGGAATCAGAAGTTCTGATTGGGGGAGTGGGGTGGGAGAGTAGACATTGTAGGTAAATCTCTGGAGATCTGTTCTAGGACAGTGAAACCAGCCAATCCTGATGGTACATTCCTAACTCAAACCAAAAAACCCAAACCCACTGCCATCGAGTCGATTCTGACTCACAGCAACCCACAATGGGTTTCTGAGGCTGTAAATTTTTACGGAGGTAGATTGGCCAGTCTTGCTTCTGTAAAGTGGCTGGTGGGTTTGGACCAAAACCATATGGTTAGCAGTCAGATGCCTTAGACACTGTGCTACCAGAACTCCTTATTCCTAACTCACCTCTCCAGAATAGCTGGCCTGGTACTAAGGCAAACAAATGTTAAATCAAGACACATGAGTTCTGATTCCAACTCAGCAATTAGCATGTTCCCTGCATTCACAAATTACTTAATCTTCCTGTTTCTTGGGTGTTTACCTCGAGTTTCACCCAGCTCTAAAACAATTTTGATTTTACTACTCAGGGGACAAAATCCTATTTTTTGTGAATCCAAGGCTGTTCTTGTGAATACCTGTGGATATGTGGCAAAGAATTCATTCTGGTTGGGAACTCTTTGGGGAAAATAATAGGAAAATTTTTCAGATCAGTTCAGTTTTCTAGAGAAACTAAACTCCTATACCTGGATTATTTTCTTTTGATAAATAAAAAATGGTTAAATTCGATAAAGTATTTTTGTATGCTATTTTGCCTGGGCCAGAGATATGTATATTTTGAATTTTCTTTTTCAAGATGCTAGAAAATGACAGGTTTGGTAAGAATGCATAAAGTTTAAAGAGTTCAGAGAATTTTTTAAGCCAAAATACAGCAATTACTTGAGGGGGGTGCTGGAAACCAACTGCAAAACCATCAGTGCTTTTAAGAGATAATATTATTTAAGCAGATGTGGGGCTTGGCTTAATTAAATGCTTTAATTTAATCTTAATTAAACATTTGCCTTTTCTGGCTTGAGAAAGCTGGTTGGGACTGCTTTATAAATCGACATAATCTGACTGCTCTGCGATCACCTTGTTAGGTCTGGCTCAGTGTGCTGAACTCTGCTGGCAGCTGAGAGGGGAAGCCGGAAAAAGGCAAGTTCCTGGTGCAAAGATTGCTCTGCAGCATAATTTAGGCCTTGGAGGAGCTGCAGTTGTAACACTGTACAAGATGGGTTTTCCTGAAGCTGCCAGGTAAGTGACACTCTGGGTTTGGTCTGGCAATTCATCTTTTTGGTTTTTCACGGTTGATGACGTTTAACATGTAAAAAGTCCTAGTTTTGTCTTAGTGCTGCAAAGAGTACGTGTCTCATTACATTCTCCAGTGACATGACTTTAAAACTGGCCATTAGCTTTCAAACTTAACCAGAAAAGTTTAACTTTAACCTTAGGAAAATTTTGTTCAGAAAGGAGGCAGCATAGTAAAAGAGAGGGCTTTGGTACTGAGTTATTTAAACAAGTCACTTTTTGGTTTCCTTTCCCACAATTTGCTTTCATGGTCACCGCCTCCTGGGCTTCTGAGGTTGTTTGGGAGTCATCAAATATGCTGATTGCTAAGCCCTCATTGCTGCTAGAATCCTTTTAGTCTCTTGCTGACTTTCTTCATCTTTTTCAAATGTTTGCTCTGGTGCCATAGGGCCTAAGGCATTTGAATGCTAACCAGAAGGCTGGTGGTTCAAACCCACCAGCCACGCCTCAGAAGGAAAACCCAATGCCATAGAGTCGAATCTAACTCAGCGACCCCGCCACAGTATCACTATGGAAGCAGATTGCCCAACCTTCCTTCTGGGAAGGCTTGTGGGTTTGAACCACCAGCCTTCTAGTTAGCAGTCAAATGCCTTAGGCATCTACTTCCCTAGTGATAGACCGCCTCAGAAACCCAAGGAGAGGTCACTATGAGTCAGATCTACTCGAAGGCAGTGAGTTTGGTTTTTGGTTTTTGGCTCTTCTGAAGTCTCCAGGCACTTTCTTTCGCATTCATTTCAGAATCACTCAACTTTTCTTGCTCAGCTCTCTCAGAAGTGTCCATCTTTCCCAGAGGGAAAAAGCACCTCTCTTCCTTTCCAAGACCTAGGTCGCCTTTTTACTGACTTTTGTCCCCAACCACTTCCTGTACTTACGTTCTAACTATACCTTCTCTCTTTTCAATCTTGCATCTTTCTTTTTCCATTGAATCTTTCCCCTCTGTCAGCAAACGTATCCAGGTGTTCCCTATTCTACAAAATCAGCTTTTCTCCTTGCCTTAACTATTCTTTTTCATGATGAACCTTTTATAGGGTCACCTTTGTTTTTCTGTGCTGAAATACCTTGCATAGTCTAGTTCCCTGCTTCACCACTGGAGTCAGGTAAGGCTGCTGCTGCTGTGATTATGAAATCAGATGTCCTTGTCTTTATTTTCAGTTCTCGTTCTCTTTAACCATGCTGTGCACTAATTAGCTCCTTTTTTTCCACTGAATTTATTGGGGATTATTTCTCTATCTATTCACACACTTCTTTTATTGAATCCATTATATTCCACTTTTTACAAGCTCTTGGGACTTTCCCCTTTGCCCTCTCATTCTTCTTTCTCTGCCTGGAAAATAATTTCTGTTGTAAAAATTATTATCTTTTGATTATGGTCCATCTCAAGTTCTTTCTCCCTTTAAATATCACCTCACTTTGCCCTTTTAGAAGGAGCTCTGGTAGTATAGTGGTTAAGCCATCTGGCTACTAACCAAAGATCTCTGGCTTGAACCCACCAGCTGCTCTGTGGAAGAGAGATGAGGTGGTCTGCATCCATAAAGTTTTACAGCCTTGGAAACCCAGTGGGGGTTGCTATGAGTTAGAATTGACTAGATAGCAGTGAGTTTGGTTTGTTTTGCTCTCTTACGTGCCTACCCAATTGTGGTTTGGTTGCCATGTACCTAGCTTGTTTCCCTTTATTATATGAAATTCTTTTGTTTTAAGACTATGACTTCTCTTTGCCCCTGAGATCTCTTATAATAAGTAATGTTATTGAATTGAATCAAATAAAAAAGTTTGAATCTTAAGTTTCCTCCTAAATCTGATTTGTTAGTTCTGTACTGTCAGCTGGGATTCCATCCAGTTCATATTCAGAAAACCTTCAGAAAAAAACTATAAAGAACTACCATAGTCAGCATATTAGTGTAGCTCTGTAATTTGCTCAGAGTTGAAGGTTATTTTTGGCAACAGATTCTATTTAAAATGTGGAATTCTTGAAGTCTTTTTATTTTCAAGAGACTAAATAATTGGGAGAAAGAGTTGTGTGCATTAACCAGGGTTGATACTTCTGGAAAGTAAGAAAATGAAAGGGATATATATATGAAATATCGTTGGTAGTTTTAGTGATAGAATATAACTCACACCAGAGGTCAAAGCTGGGAAAAGAATTTTCTGATGGTATAAGTATTGCTTTAAAATACTTTCATAGTTTGGTTTGAAACAAAGTAATTTTAAGATACCCATTGCACATGATCTGATCTCAGTTTCTCAGTTAGCTAATTTTGATGGAGTTGCTACATACTTAGGCCTCCCAAGTATGGGCCTCTGAGATGTGAGGAAAGCAGACATACTTTTTTCTAAGTGCTGTAGAATTCCAGAGGGAGAAATTATTACAAAGAAGATAATTTAAGCTGGGATGACTAGGATTAACCAGTGAAAGGTAGGGGAGGGGGCACTCCAGGCCTATACATAGGCATGTTGTTGTTGTTGTTATTTGCCATCAAGTCAGCCCCGACTCATAGCGACCCCTCCTTGGGTTTCCAAGGCAGTATCACTACGGAAGTAGGATTGCCCAACCTTCCTTCCGAGGAGTGGCTGGTGGGTTTGAACCGCCAGCCTTCTGGTTAGTAGTCAAGTGCCTTAGGCACTATGCTACCAGAATATAAAACAACGAGGAGGTTTGGTGAGTGGTTGTGCTATGTGGGTGGAGCGGCTGAGTCAGTACTGTCTAGGTGACAGGAGTTGCAGCTATAATAGTAGTTGTAGAAGTAGAAATGCTTCAAATGCTATGCCCAAGAATATGGGATTTTAGCAGATCATGTGACTGATTATATTACACTTCAGGTAGATCAGTCTGGAATTAGTTTTAGTTGGATGGGGGTGACACCAGAGGCCAGGAATCCTTAGGAGGCTGTTACAGTAGTGTGGGTAAGAAATATTTAGTGTTGCAGCAAGGGCAGTGGAAATGGAGACCAAACCAAAACTAAACCCACTGCTGTCAAGTTGATTCTGACTCATAGCTACCAGAGCTTCTATAGTGACCATATAGGACAGAGTGAAACTACCCCGTAGGGTTTCCAGGACTGTAAATCTTTGCAGAAGCAGACCCTCACAATTTTTTCCCACAGAGCAGCTGGTGGGATCCAACTGCCAACCTTTTGGGTGGCTGAGTGCTTTAACCCCTGTACCACTAGGGCTCCTCAGAATTGAAGAGGAGAGGTCAAATTTTAGAGCTGTGACCAATTGCATTTAAAGGCTTAAGGATGATTAGGTATTTATTTGAGATGACTGGGCAGTAGTAATTCCATTGGCTTAACATGAGGAAACACCAGGGGAGGATAGGGTTTGATGGACAACATGCGTTTCACACATGTTGCTTTTGAGGTGCTGTGGATCATTTAGATAGAAATGTCTCAGCAGGCAGGAGACTATGTAGACTATATAGATCTAGAATTCAGGAGAGAAAACTAGGCTGGAAATCTAGTCCTCAGCATATAGAACTAGGAGTCCTCAGGATACAGGTATATCTGAAGCTATAGATTTGTGTAAAATTTCTCAGAGAGGGAGGATAGAATTGTTGGGGGGAGGGGCAAATAGAAAATGTTGGGAGAGGGAAATAGAAAATATCTACTGTCTTCTGCTTCTATTAAAATTTACTTCAGTTCTTTGGAGGGCTTTTTGAGGGCAGTAGCTTCTACAAGGTGCATCTTTAGTGTATGGGAAACAAGAAAGTATAACCTTAATAGCAAAACTTTCTTTTACAGTCTCTAGGGCAGAGTCTCTCAACTTTTAAACATATGCCCCTCACATGTAATACTTTTTCATTTTATCTGGTCCAACCAAAAAGATTTTGTTGGGTATTAGTTTTTGTAGTTTATATTTGTTAAAAGAAAGGCATATCAAATAGGCTTTTTAAAACCACCCAAGTCTCTCCCCTTCCATTCTGATGTAATACTTCAGGGGAGTATCATTGGCACATTCTGCCACACCTTACACTATTAAGAATTATTGTTTAGAGCAAGGGTTGGCAGGCTTTTTCTGTAAAGGGCCAGAGAGTCAGTATTTAGCATGTGTGGGCCATGTGGCCTGTTACAACCACTCATATCAGCTATTGTAGCATGAACATAGCCACAGACAAAATGCAAATGAATAGGTATGGCTCTGTTTCAGTGAAACTATTTGTAAAAACAAGAGGCACCAATCAGAAAAGGACAAATATTGTATGATCTCACTTACTTGGCATAGCTAGACTAGACAAATGTATAGAGACCACAGTTAATGAGTGGTTACCAGTGGTGGGAAGGAGAGGCTTCATTGCTTGGGGGCACTGAGTTTCTGTTAAGGGTGATGGAAAAATCTGAAATCAGATAATGGTGATGGTTACACAACATGATGGATGTGATTAATGTCTCTGAATTGTACCTGTAAAAAAATGGCAAAATGGTAAATACTTTGTTACATATATTTTTACCACAAAAAACAAACAAGTGGCAGGCTGGATTTGGCCCATAGGCCATAGTTTGCCAACCTCTGCTCTAGAGAATAATAATCTTGAAGGCTGGGCAATCTACTTGCGTAAAGATTGACTGCCTCGGAAACCCAAAAGGGGTCACTGTGAGTCAGAATCGACACAGTGGCAGTGAGTTTGGTTTGGGAGAGATGCAACTTTTTTTTTTTTTAAGAACCCTGGGAATGTATATCTAAATATGCTTTGCATGTCAATACAGGCAGCTAGTTGTTTAGAAGTTGTCAGTTTAGAAATTCTGCTTCTTGGGTAACTTAGGGTGTCCCCTATGAATAGTCATGTTTTCATCAAAGAAGGAAACTTACAGCAGCAATCTCAATATTTGTGAAGTGTCTACCAATTCTGAAAGAGGTAGTTGAGAGGCCGAGAAAGTGTCCAGAGCTTTGGACTATAATTAGACTAATAAAGTTTTTTTCCTTGTTTCTTTCAAATCATAATCAGAAATCCC